TCTTGAGGACAGCTTACAGATTGTCAGCCACTCGATGTATTTCTGTAAGCATTAATGTCAAGTGTCACTCAAAGCTTCTGTTAACACTAAAGATGCTCTCCCCTACCTTAACAATGCCCACCTCTGGGTCCTCCTCTCTTTTGCAATGCAGAAAAGCAGACTCAGCATGTTAGTGGTGATAAGGCACATGATAACAGACAAGGGGGGTCTGTAGGCCAGTGAGAATGTGATGTAACCAGAGCGAGCCCCTCTCCACAGTACAGCTTGGGATACTCTGGTGGACAGTGGCTAGGCTAATGACTGAAGATCTGTCTCACACACTTGCACGTCCCAGAGGAAGCAGCATTCAGTGGAAAAAAGTGTGACCTCTGACCTGTGGTGATGAAAGACCGCTGTTGACAGATATAGTATACCTGTGAGAGCCCTCTGTGTTTGGCTTGTCTGCGGGGGGTTTTGTTTCTGGACTGCAGCCTGGACCAATTCACACATTCTCCACTAGCAAAATTCTGTTCCATCAGTTCGCTCATGGTATCGATACAAGCAGCTCTGCCCTTAAATAAACATGTGAATTGTGTAGACACACACACTGTGGCATAAGCACATATTGCACAGCCACACAATGCACTCAGTGTGCTGTGTGTGTCTCAGTTCTCTCAGAGTAGAGTGTAGGAAGGAGGGGCAGATGGAGTAGCAGTGCTGTGAGTGAAACCGGAGCCGCCTGAGGAATGCAAGGGGTGTTTTTGGAGGACTGGAGGGAAGTTTGGGGGTTGAACAGGGGTGACTTAAGAGGCAGGGTGGGTGATTAGGGGGTGACAGCTGAGTGCTGACCCTTCTATAATGACAAATCATCTGGCAGGTGTGTGGTTCTACACCCCCTACTCCAGTCCCCCCCATCATTCCCAGGCCAGGAATCCTCAGCCTTGCTGGTATAGTGTGCTAAAGGAAGACTTCCGGACATTCACACTGGCATCCCACAGCCTCATGACTGGCCTTTCAGAAGTATGGGGCAGCCTCTGTTCGCATATAGCTTGCCCTGTACTTGTCAGCTGCCCTTTCTTTGCACTCAACATGCCAGTCTAAGCTCCTTCACTTTAATAATCATAGCTAATGAGGCTTCAGTCCTTGAAGTAATCTCATGTAGGGTAAGATTTATTGATTTTGTCTTTGTAGATGATACTTCTTCTACCTGTGTGGATTCAGCGGAATACAAAGTTTATCTCCCCGACTACCTGAAAGTCAGTGGGCCGGTTTGGGTAATGAATCATGCTGAATCCAAAAGGTCTCTGACCCTGTGTGCTGTAAAAGCAAGCACTGACACTGGATCAGTGAGAATACTTTGAAAGCGGACAGGTGCCATCTGAAGCCTGGTCTCCAGTCAGTGCTGATTTTTTTTTTTGAAGGACAATATAAGAAGAGATTCTCTCAGAAAATCTCATTCATATAGATGTTACCAAATTTTTTTTGTTCCATAGAAGGAGTTCATTTAGCTTTGTAACGTTTTATGAAAGCAGCCAAAGCCATATGCAGTATTTTTACAGTGAGTTTAGTTTCAGACTTGTTCAGTTTGGTCCATTGTCTTGTGTGTCTGCTTTGTGGTTTCAATGTTGATTAAGTGTTTGCTTACTGAAATAGTCATTGTAGTATTACAGGCTTCTTTTCTTTTCCATCAAGCCTGGGCTTCCACATCTCTTTTAAATCCAATTCCAGCCAACACATGGAGTCTAGACAAGAGGCCCAACACAGCCTGCATCCCCATCTGATATCCACAGTTTTCCCTCCGGAGTCCCAGCCTCATAGCCGTTTCCCTGAAGAATCCAAACACCCTCCATTCCATGGCAGCATTGCCGATCCAAACACAGAGGAGCCACGCATTCGCAGCTGGAAATCAGGCTGAACATTTCACAACAACATTTCACCACTTATCTTTTCACTTTGAATTAGAGATGGGACTCTATTGTATTTTCCAGGAAGCAGTAAGTGGGGAATACTTTCAGGGTCCAGTGAGGAAAATCTGGCTGTTATTAGCATTAGTAGGAGACATTGTACAGGTCTTCAGAGTTCCAGACCCAAGTGGAAAAATACTGTTAACTCTGAACAGTTTTGATCCAACCGCACATGTTTTTTTGACAGAGTGGGAATAGCACTTTATCATCGGTTCTGTTGTTGAGATACAAAAATAATCTAAATTTGACACCCGTGCTCCTGTTGAATCCGAAGAAATATAATAGTAATTCATGCCCCCTGTTTATTGTAAGGAAAGAGATGTTGACTGGAGAAAAAAAAAATCTGGCACATTATATATCACTACTTTGAGTGTGTACACTAATGGAAACCCCATATTCCCTTGTGGCAACTGCAGTCTGACACACATTCTGCGTCATTCAGTTGTCTTGATCACCTGTACTTGTCTTCTCCTGCTCCCCCCCAAGCGACATAATGGGCCAGTCCAAAGTGACCCATATTTACCCAATAATATGAGGCTTTGAAAAGACCCATATCAAGTTGCAGCTAATGCTCCAGTGGGGCCCGAAGAGTGAAAGATGTTACCGGCCGAAACGGCTTGGGTTTCAGGGTGCTGCGAACAAAAGGCAGTCCAGTCATCAGAGAGACAAAGAGAAAGAGGGGATGGAGTGGGAGGGTGTGGAAAGTGTTAGTGTGCTGAAACAGTAGCATCAGAGGGTCTCTGAGTCTGTACTGGAGAGATATACTGAGTGTGCTGTATTTTGGTTTATGATTAAGTGCAGCATAACAAGCCTGCCTGTTTTTCTAGACGAGTGTGCAGCGCATGTTTAATGCATTTCATGTTGTTGCAGGGCTTAGGTGTCATCTGTCCACTCTTAATATGTCAGCATTGTCAAGTAGTCAGGCAGAAAGAGTCGAGTTCATGTGTATGGCTGGCCTTTAAGGGAAGATGCAACTGCTGAGTTAATGGCGCAGAACTGAACTAACCTTGGGTGTTTGGGGTGAGCAGAGGGCAGACAGGGTTAGTTTAAGAGAAGTGTGTTTGTGATGTGGATACCCAAAGGTGATTTCACCTCCTTTTTCTGCCCCCTCACCCTACTCTCCTCACCCTCTTCCCCCCTTCGTGGTGTTCTTTTGCTCTCATTCCCTCTCTCCTTAGGGGCAGGCAGGTATAAAGTTACACAGAGCTCTCAGCTTTCTTGGAAGGAATGACCACATGAGTAGCTTGGGGATTAGATTAGCAGGAAGAGCAGACTTGGCCAGGCTGTAAATAGCCCACTTTTTTCACCATTAAATGGACCCAGTACAATATAATCAATAGATAGCACTCATCTGATGCAGGAAGCCATATGAGAAGACCTCCCTCAAGTGCTCTGAAGGACGGGCTACAGCAGCTTTGGCCTAATGAAGTTATTATTAATCACTGGGCCTCCTGTTTTGAACTTGGGTGTTGTTTCTGTAGTGGGTGATGAGTGGTCTTTGTGTGTGAGACCTGATTGACATCTCTTGCTGCTCTTCTTTTCACTTTGTCTTTTGTAAGACTTGACAAGGTCATCTCCCATGCATGATATTTATGTGTTTGTCAGACACGCTGGCGAATATGTTTCAACTTCATTTCCACTGAAGGTTTCATCTCGTTACGAGGAAAGCACCAAGGCACCTTGTTCAGTCATAAAACACTAAAGTAAAGATGTGATGTATTCAACTTGTAGTCTCACCAGCACCTTTTTCTCCCTGTCCATCTCTCATTCACACACCTCAACTCTCTCTGCCTCTCTGAGCCTCCCCACAGGTGTTAGGTTACTCTGTAAAGCAGTTTGAATGGGTACCGAAATCACAGAGGGCCGTCTGTGCTCTTGATTCCAGTTTCACTTTGAAGTTTCCCCAGCTCACAGGAGCAGGGACCACAAAGCCAGACTCGTGTGAGGGCTTTGGGGGGGGCTGTTGTCTCAGAGGCTAAGGCACTTTGCTGTTTTAGCTTTGTAGTCAGATGTTTTAAGAAAGGAGCACAGACCATGCACAGGCTTCTCCCCCGGTGACAACTTTTTGACAGATCAGAATTGCGGAGGAAGGATTAGGGTAGTCGAGGGGCATCGATCACTGCAGGGACAAGACGTGGAGACTAATTTAACAGCTCGACTGTTTTCTCTGTCTGTACACGAAAGTGAAAATAAACAGTGACTTTTGGCTTTGCTGAAGAACCTGAAAAGGGGCTTTGGCAGCATACATCTGTAAGCACTTAAAAAATAAAAGACACCTATAATACTTTAATAGAGCCATGTTGGCGAGGCTTTTCCAGTGTTGGGGTGTGGGTAAGTCTGTCTTTGCTGATTTCATCAAAAGGCCAAAGGGTCACAGAGACCCAGAAAAAAATAACTTGAAGTGTGGACATAATAAAGAATAAACTTGCCCTCGAGCCACACTTACATTAACTACTTTTGAAACCAGCTCTCGGGCTGCCAATCATTCACATTATTTACAAAATACCTCAGTGCTGTTACTGACCGGAGCTTCCTGTGTGTTCTCAGGTATCTGAACCACGTGCGGGCTGCAGCGCCTCAGGACACAGCTGGAGGATACATGACAGCTCTGGCCTGTTATCGGGCCATTCAGGATGCTTTCAGTGGGCTGTTCTCTCTGAAAGGCTGAATACACCCAGAGCTCTAAGTGTACAACAGCTACTGGTGTGTGGTTGTTTGACGGACTATAAACACCACACGGCTACCACCACGGACAGGATGACGGGTTGGGGATAGAGCTCTGGCTCTTTTTTTTTTTTTTTTTTTTTTTTACGGCATATTGGGTGGTTTTTTTTTTTT